TCACCGCACTAGCTTCCGATAGTAGCAACTTCGGGTCCAGAAATGCCACCGCCGCTGGGTCTACAGGTGTAGGGCGCGCAGCGGTTGTATTTGCGGCAACTCCGGGTCCCGTCCCCGGTCCTCCTATAGCTGATGATGGGCCATCGTTGTCGCCTGCAGAGGTTGGATCTGTCTGGTGTTGGTGCGGGTTTGAGGAACTTGAGGCAAGGCGGAGGAGAAGGTCGTGGAGCGAGGGGAGGATATCAAACGTTTGCGGAGGGGGGAAGGGAGCGGGTTGTGGTGTGCCTTGTTGATCTTCCTGTTGGGGCTGGTGCTGGGTTTGAGATTGGACTTGGAGTTGGTGAGGGACACCTGGTGTAGCGGGGGAGGATGTGTTTGTGGCCGATTGGAGGGAAGAGGCGACTTTTATGGCAGGGGAGGTCATAATGATCTCAGGTTCTGGCGTCTAGTCGGATTCTTTGGTTGTATTTTATTATTGCTTGGGCGCAAAGCTCATTGAGGGCTTTCGCAGCTTCCGCGCCAGCTACCTGTGGTGGTTAGCGAGGGTGGATTGTTCATGAAGTCGGGAGCTGGCGCAATGCTGGAGCAAACGGTGGGTGCTTTGTTCGGTGACGTCGAAAAACTAAGTAACTAAGCTGACTACGCCGAATTTATAAATATGTTTGGACCAGAAAATGCCCCTCCCCCGCCAACATTCGCATATGCTCGCCTCTCTGCGCGAACGCAAAATCACGCATTAGCGGTTCAATTCCTCAGCTAAGTATAACCAGTATCTGCTTTTGAATTGTGCCATTGGACACAATCATTTCCTAGTTATCCAGCTTGATATTCGCCACAATGACCACGGTTGATCACAAAGCAGTGCTGAGTATGCCGATTCCTCCAATTGCCCCACACAACCTCTCTATATTATTCTACTTTCGGAGGACAATTTATGATTAACACTAATGCCGACCTTGGTCAGTCGTTATTGACGGCTGGGGTATTGCTGGCCCTGACTCCCGTCCCGATGGAGACGCTATCGCTGCAGCTAACGCCCCGGTCATGTCCTCGTTCGCGGACTCCAATTCAAAAACTGCACAGGGCTATACCGAGCTCGATGCTTCCTCCCTCGCCGTGGGCCTCCCAGAAGGCCTCATGGGAAACAGTGAAGTGGGTCATCTGAATATTGGCGCTGGGCGTGTGGTCTGGCAAGATGTTGTACGCATCGACCAAACCCTGAAGAATGGAGATATGAACAAGACCGAGAACATCGTCAAAACGTTCCAGAAAGCGAAAGATGGCAATGGGCGATTGCACCTCCTTGGCCTCATCTCTGATGGCGGTGTCCATTCTCACATCAACCATTTATTCGGGCTACTACAGGTGGCTAAGGAAATGAAGATTCCCAAGGTCTTTATCCATTTCTTTGGGGATGGGAGAGATACGGATCCTAAGAGTGCAGCTGGGTATATGCAGCAATTGCTTGACAAGACCAAAGAATTGGGTGTTGGCGAGTTGGCGACCGTGGTAGGCAGATATTTTGCTATGGATCGCGATAAGAGGTGGGATCGTATCGAGATTGCTTTGCACGGGCTTGTTACTGGTGAAGGAGGGGAAGAGTCCACAGACCCAGTCCAGACCATCAATGAGAGATATAAGAAAGGAGAAAATGACGAGTTCTTGAAGCCAATTATTATTGGAGGAAAGGAGAGAAGAATTCAAGGTACAATTCACGCTTCTCCCACCCCTGCTGTATTTCACATCTGCTTACCTAGATCTAAAGACAATGACACACTCTTCTTCTTCAACTACCGCTCGGACCGTGTGCGGGAAATAACCCAGCTCCTCGGGGACGTCGACCGTTCCCCCAAGCCAAACTTCCCTTACCCCAAAAACATCTCAATCACAACTATGACCCAATATAAAACTGACTATAAATTCCCCATCGCTTTTCCCCCTCAGCACATGGGCAACGTTCTCGCGGAATGGCTGGGCAAGCAAGGCCTCAAACAATGCCACATCGCCGAGACAGAGAAATACGCTCATGTCACTTTCTTCTTCAACGGCGGCGTTGAGAAGCAGTTCCTCGGCGAAGAGCGGGAGTTAATCCCGTCTCCAAAAGTAGCAACCTATGACCTCGACCCGAAAATGAGTGCTGCTCCTGTGGCAGATAAGCTTGCTGAGCGTATTTGTGAGAATAAATTTGAGTTTTTGATGAACAATTTCGCCCCGCCGGATATGGTGGGCCATACTGGAGTGTATGAAGCTGCCGTTGAGGCTGTGACGGCAACGGATAAGGCTATTGGGAGAGTGTTTGAAGCTTGCAAGCAGCACGGATATATCCTTTTCGTCACGGCTGATCATGGGTATGCATATTTTTGCTATCTTTTTGGTTTGGATTTCAGTGCGAAAGGAGTGCTAACAAGTCCGGTACAGAAACGCCGAGGAGATGAAGAACGCTGAAGGAACGCCCAAGACGTCACATACGACTAACAAAGTCCCTTTCATCATGGCCAACGCGCCAGAGGGTTGGAGCTTGAAGAAGTCCGGTGGAGTTTTGGGCGATGTCGCACCGACCATCCTCGCAGCCATGGGCGTCGAACAACCTAAGGAAATGACAGGACATAGCCTTCTTGTCAGGACTTAGAACTATTCATATTTACATTGAGTATAGCATCGAGATCGGGATAAACAGCCTGTATGCTTTGTCCGAATGTGCGTTTTGTTTCATTTATCTTTTTCTTAAGTTCTGTTTCATCCGTGAAACAGGCCAAAGAGGGAACTCATTTCGTGCTTAGAGGATAGAGATGGGTGGGAGAGTTGTGACATTTGCATAGCTAGGTAATGTCTCAAGATTTATCGGCTTTGGCAGGTAGCCGTTTGTGGCTACGGAGTATGTATGGCATACATCGAGGAATTTAAGTTTGGAAAAGCTTCCTTCCTTCGGCCATGGTATTCTAAAAAAAATCCAGCGCGCATGTTACATTCGGGAAAATAGTGCGCTAAATGTATACGTCATTTTAACCCTTTTAAATTGTGAAACTCCCCAGCAGTACATTTCTATTTCCTGTACAGCCTTCTGCGCTTCGTGAATCCGCCGATTGCATGATTCTTGGAAGTATAATTCCTAAATAGCAATCAAACCACCTATAGGTGATTTAACCTAAAACATTTCCAGGTCATTTAAAGCGGGTTGGAGCCTCGAACGGCTCGGAAACTGTTTCGTAATCGGTCGTCACAAGAGGAACGATATGGTTCATTGCAGAACGGAATCGACCCAGGTATCAAATCATTAATTATGCTATGTATGACTGTACAATTAGGCGGTAGCTGCGCCTACTTGTTGCTGTTGCTGCTGCTGCTGCACTTGCGTTTGTAGTTGGATAATCTATGACAGGGTTAGATAGCTTGTCGTAAAACGAGATGCTGACATGTGGCAGGAAATACCTCTATCTTCTTCTTCTCACTCTTTTCTTGGATATCATGTATTTGCTTTTCGATCCGAGATCTAGTTTATTCCATCTCTCAAGTTAGCAATGCTCTGCCAAAGGGAGCGAAATTTCCTGG